GCTCTCTATATTCGTAGTTCCTTTACAGTGATTAAATCATATTTCCTGATTCAAGAAATGCCTGTAATTAAAAAAAAAGATACAGTATGAGATAAGTGATTCTAATTTGAAGCATATACTATCTTTAATCGTGATTGGAGAATCAAATGTCCCATTTTTATTTTTGTATATTCTTATAAATAAGTATAAAATCTAAATGGTTTCTCAAAATTTTTGTGCCGAATTTTGAATTATCAGCTATTCATCTCTTTAGGCGACCTATAGGCACACCAGAAAATTTGTTTCATGCACCCAACTCACAAAATGGTTCTTTCCATGACTTTTAATTATGCATAATTCAAGTAGTTGTTTGGTTCCATCATCTCTTAAACTAACACATGACTTTCATGAACATAGGATTGCAACCTATTATATTGAAATTTTTATTTGAAAAAAGATCATACTTAATCCTTTTTAAGATATACTTACAAAATTCTTTTTGCGATTATTTTTCTGTCTGGAAAGATGCCATGCGACTCCATTATCTCGCGATCAAGAATCTTCAATCATGAGTCAAATAAGAAATTTAAACATTCGACTTTAAATTAACATAATTAAACTATTATACAAACGTGCAAAGTATTCAAGTGATGGAAAAATATAATTAGACCTTCAAATATGTATATGGACTAAATAAGAGTTCATGGCAGCTCAAAACAAAAACTCTCGGTTTCTCTTCCTGCAGCCATGCACCTTAAATTATTCTATTTTTAAAAAAATAATAAAAATAATGAAATTGGTCTACATAAATAATGTTACCTGATTCTTATCTACGAAAATATGCGATGAGAAGTAAATTTATGACATGCGTTTAATTATCCATGGAGAAATTTCAATGATTCAAGAGATTTTATAGAATCAAAATTTAATCCAAATTCCAATTGTGATATCTTGTTAATGGAATGATTTGTTTGCTCCTAAAATGGCTATCAAATTTTGTTTACAGTTTAATTTCAAAATTTTCATTATCTATTTTAATTGTTTTAATTGCTTATGTACAACGATATTTGTTATTATCTCTCCCTATATTGCCTCTAGTTGTTGTATTAGATAAGAAGTCTGACTAATAGTTAATAATTAATTAGTAAAAAGATAAATAGTAATTTTTTTGGTTATTTTTTAAGTTAAAAAAATCATAAATTTGCCACATAAGACTTATCCCTTAGGTTTTCTCTCTCTGGAGTTTGGCTTAGTATTGTACTATTTTGCAACCCCACACATGAATTCCGAATTTCATACACGAACTTGTCATCTCGGTTTGCATGGGATGGGTAAACAAAATTCCCAACCTTCACACGAACATCATGTAAAATTCCCTTTGGATAAATTAATGACATGTCTGCCAACTGCAATGTCATGTTAGTAGGCACCAAAAATTATCCAGACCAAGTGATTTAAATACAGACAATGGCACGAGTTTATACTTGCACCAAGATCTAGCAATGTTTTCGAAAATTCTCTGATTCTTACAGTGCAAGGAAGAGTGAAACTACCCGGATCTTTTAGTTTAGGTGGGAATTTTCTTAGAATAGCTGCACTGCATTCTTTATTTAGAGTTATAAAAGCAGAATCAGGCACTTGTGGTTTATTAGCTACCAGATCTTTCAAGTACTTGAAATATTTAGGCATTTATTTAAGTGCATCAACAAGTGGAATATTTAGGCACTTGTGGTTTATGCTTTCCAAATTTTGAATAAACCTGTTGAGCCCTTCATCCACCTTAGCCTTCTTTTGTCTCACTGGATATGGTGGTATTGCATCATGTGGCTTCTGAATTGGTGCTGGGATTTTGAATTCCTCCATTCCAAGTTTTTCCACTGATTGCTCCTGTTCACCCCAATGATCAATGATCATCATCAGATATTTTCTCAGAAGGTATTTCCTTATTACCTGCAGGGTCACTCGCGGGAGTGACTTTTTCACTTGTCTGAGTGAGCTATTTTCCACTTCTGAGAGTGATAGCGTTTGCTTGCTCTTGATCATTTCCCTTGGGATTGACAATTGTATCGCTTGGTAGACTTCCAGATGGTCTTTCAGCATTCTGCTTTGCAATCTGAGCCAACTGATTTTCCAGACTCTTGCAAGACACAACCAAATTCTTAATTGCATTTTGCACAGAAATCCATTCATCTTCCCTTGGTATGTATTGCTGATTAGAACGCTGTGGATTCTGATAATTGGAAGGTTGGCCGTCTTGTCTTTGAAATCTTGGGGGTTGAGTAGGCTTCTGATAGTTTCCTTGTTGTGGTGCATTATTCCAGCTGGGATGCTGCTGATTTCTCCAATTGTTGAAGTTGTTGAATCCTCCAGCATTGCCCTGCCTAACAAACTGGACAACCTCTATTTTGGATGGACATTTATCCAAATTGTGAGATCCATCACATAACACACACACTTCAGCCTTGGATTTGGACAGCTCAATCCTCAGTTTTGTCATCCCATTCATCATCACAGCCATCTGTGCTTGCAGGTGTTTAATGGGGTCAAGTTCCATTACTCCTGGTTGCCTTCTACTTGCTCTTCGATCAGATTGCCACCTTGAATGATTGGTGGTCATATTATCAAGTAACTGCCTTGCTGCATCAACCGGCTTCATCATGAACACACCACCAGCTGCAGCATCAAGGGAGTCTCTTGTGGCTGGTAGCAAACCATTGTAGAAGATGCTCAGTTGGAGGTGCTCTTCTAAACCATACTGAGGGAATTTTCTGATCATTTCCTTCAATCTTTCCCATGCTTCATAGAGTGTTTCTTTTCCATGCTGCTTGAAATTCATTATTGCAGTTCTGAGTTGTGCAGCTTTTGCAGGTGGAAAAAACTTTGTAAGGAAGCCTTGTCTTAACTCTTCCCGAGTGGAGATAGAATTTTTGGGCAATGTGTTGAACCATGCTTGGGCGCGATCCTGCAAAGTAAAAGGAAATAACCTCAATCTAGTCATCATTGGATAAGCCTTGAATCTTAAAAGTATTGCATAAACGCAAGAAACTTCTAATATGATCATTAGGATCTTCATGAGGTAATCCATGGAATGGGCAAGCTGACTGAGTCCATTGGATCATCTGTGGGTTTAACTCAAAATTAGTTGCCTCCACATTAGGGAATACTAATGGGGATTGGACTTCTTCTTGTTGTGGAATAAAGAAAGCTCTGAGCAATCTCTCAGGGTGATTTTGTCGATCACCACCAGGCTTCCTATTGTTCTCCGGGTTACCACCTTGGTTAGCCATTTCTGATGAACCTTCTTGGCTGTTCTGTTGCAACCGATCTTGCTTTTTTTTTTTGCTGCTTTGGCTCTGCGTATAGTGGCTTCAATTTCCGGATCAAAAACTGGTTCACTTCGTTGGTGCTTTCTAGTCATACACCAAAGAAAAGAAATTAGAAGCTCAATGGAATAACCAGAGAAGGGATTTTTTTTTATATTCACAAATGAAAAAAAAAACAACAAATTTTTGGAGGTTTTATGCCGTCCCCGGCAACGACGCCACTTTCTGGTGTGTGTCGAATTCACCAAAAATATATACTAGCTGGATTATAATTTTTGTAGACAATGGAAGCTAGGTCGACCCCACGAGGACAGCTAAATCACCTAATTTGTTGTTAACAGACTACTAGTTCAGACAAGGTGTCACTCAGGGGAGTACAGACCAGGGCTGTTCATCTCCTCTTCCTGTTGCAGCAGTTGTGTAAATTGCACTTTAATAGTTAAGTTCTTGTTCATTCAGCTCAGATGTAACTCTAAGTCAGTTCCCATTTTTCTTAGAGTCATTTTTGTAACTTTAACAATCTATTTTCCGATGATTGAGTCCAGTTATAAAGTCATTAAGATCTCGGGCTAACATGAATGCTCATGTCAACTAAGTATATTCCTATCTTAGTTAAAACCATAGATTGTTACCTCTATGTCACAAGTTGAAGTTGAAACAATCCAAACCAAATTTATCCTTCCAGATTTTCCCTAGTTCTAGCATGTATTCAATTAGTGATCAAGTAACTGAATGTAGAAACACTTCCAACTTCAAAACATAGAACAAAACCAGTGCATTACAACAACTACAACATAGGTTAAGGAGATTAACTCCTGGAAGCTATTTAGCTACTCATACTGTTTGATGCTACTGCTACTACTTCAAAAGATATCATAGAAGTATGCATCAATGAAATGAAATACAAGCTAACAGTTAAGAGAAGAAGACAGCTTATTCAATTCATGGTTTCACTCCTAGGAGTGACAGAGTTCAGGGGAGTGAACCAGTGATTGGGATGACTGTTCTTCAACTTTGCCTTCCCTTGATCTTGCCTTCCTTCTAGAGTTTCTCTATGTGCTCTAGTCGACTGAGAGAAGCAGAGATAGATGTTTTTGCTGGAAATGCAGCTCCCCTTTTATAGAACCTTGTTGCCGGTTCCTCTCCCTAGAGAGCCCTTCCATGCTTGTGTATTTTTTAATTGCCCCAATGCTTTGTGTCTTGAACCCCAAATTGACTGGTCTTTTGCCCATTCTTCCAGTGATGGTATCAGCAGCAACATTGCTCAATGTGGGTGACTAATTCTCCATTCAAGGAGTCAAGCATGGTCTTGAAATTTTATAATGGGACACTTTTGTTGGCTCCCAATGTGCCTTGTGCGTTGGAGTTACTTTTGACCAGCTCAACCCATGCTTCTAATTCTGAAATCAGCAGCCCAATTATTGCTCCAGAAGTCCCCTTTTTTCATCACTTGTTCACTCAGGTCTGTACCTATACAAAAACATAAAACTTACTAAGTAATATGCGTAAATTCGAAGAAGCACCCCCAAATTTTCAACTAATTAGAGAGTAAATTGCATTGCTTTTATATAAAAATTTGACCGTTATGATTAATTTGAAAAAAAAAATTTGCATCTGCGTCTCAGTTTGTCTCTGAATTATTTATCCTCTAATGTTAGCCTTATCATTCCACCACATTGGTTATGTTGATACCAGGATATGTTGGGGAGCTGGAGTATCAAAGCAAATGCACCTGAAGATAATTTATGGGTGGCCATTTCTGTACAACATCCTGAGCTAGGTAATTATTTCACAGCTACGTTGCGAGTCAAAAGGACGTCTATCCAGATAGCCAGGGACCCAGCCTTGTTCTTCTGGTTAATGCCTCACCGAGTTGCCATTTGGATATATTGGCACGTAAGTTTGTTAAGCTCCAGTTATTGTGGTAAATTAGATTTTGTATTTAAGTTGCTAGTTTCTCTCTTGTTTACTGTTGGTTTTCCACAAAGATAAAAGCTCGGTGATGTTTGATTTTTGAGGCATGAGATTAAAGATGACCTAGTTTTGTTACTGACCATGGAACTTTGCTGTCAAATAGTCTTTTAGGCTATGGTGGAAAGGAGTTTCCTTTATCCAACATCCAAGATATCATAGTCCAAATTATAGAGAAGAAGCTTTATTACGTGACAGTCAACTTCAAAACAAAATGGCTTTTGGACGGAATGAGGATGGCCATCTGCAAGCTGAAGGTAGTAGCTCCTCCAGTGTTGCTGAGAAGAGTCAAAATCCTCGCTGTTGTGTTTGGAGAGATGCCAAATGGCCCTGGTGTTGAAGATGAATGTTTATGGGTAGGCCAACTTGCAGATTCTCGTTCGAGGGATATGAAATGGCAGCTGAGCAGTAGTTGGACTTGATGAGAGTTTTCAATTGGCCCCAGGGCTGGATAACATTGGATTGGCCAGCGATTGTGCAGAATGAGTGGCAAATTGTATATGCTACTTGGAGTCCTAATGTAGAAAGACACATCATTTGTCTCATTTAGAAAGAAAGTGTATATCTTGTGTAATCGTATTCGTTCTTTTGTATAGACTAATTTGAGTTAGTATTACGGCATGTCTGAATGTTTTAGTGAACAACATTTAAGTCTTGCCAATACCAAAAGCATTTTCTAAAGCAAGAAACCCAAGTGATGTGCCGAAATGAATCAAAACCAAGTTGATGCGGAGGCGCATGAAGCAAAAGGCGAAATAGCAAAAGACTTGAGATTGCTACAATTCCAAAAGCAAAAGTAAAGACGACTGGCTAGTCTAATCTGCTTCCGATTGCGACAACTAAAGGTACAAATATAAGAAAATTCCACAATAAACTTGAAATTTAAAAAATGCCAATACCTGAAACTCCAAAAGAACAGTTTGTGAGTTTAGGTAAAAGAAATCCCCAACAAAAATGCATGGCATTATAATGCCATTGACATTGCATCGTAAAAAAGCAAAAGAAACCATTGACATTGCATCGTAAAAAAGTAAAAGAAATAACGCACTGCTTAGTGCTTAATCATGACCTCGTTTGTTGTTCAAGAGTATGCACAATTTGCAAATTTATGTTTTCCCATAAGGATTCGAAGTTGGAGTAAAAAAAAGTTGAGGGAGCAATTTGCTTGCTCATAAACACATTCAATGTGTAAAAGCTACTGGAAAACCTCATAAACCAATTTTTTTAACATCAACCTAATTAGTACTCCCTTTGTTCCGCAAAACTAGCTCTCATTGTAAATTGAACTAAAAACATAAAGTAAAGACGACTGGCTAGTCTAATTTGCTTCCGCCTGCGACAACTAAAGGTACAAATATAAGAAAATTCCACAATAAACTTGAAATTTAAAAAATACCAATATATGAAACTCCAAAAGAACAGTTTGTGAGTTTAGGTAAAAGAAATCCCCAACAAAAATGCATGGTATTAGAATGCAATTGACATTGCATCGTAAAAAAGCAAAAGAAACCATTGACATTGCATCGTAAAAAAGCAAAAGAAATAACGCACTGCTTAGTGCTTAATCATGACCTCGTTTGTTGTTCAAGAGTATGCACAATTTGCAAATTTATGTTTTCCCATAAGGATTCGAAGTTGGAGTCAAAAAAAGTTGAGGGAGCAATTTGCCTGCTTATAAACACATTCGATGTGTAAAAGCTACTGAAAAACCTCATAAACCAATTTTTTTAACATCAACCTAATTAGTACTCCCTTTGTTCCGCAAAACTAGCTCTCATTGTAAATGGAACTAAAAACATAAAGTAAAGACGACTGGCTAGTCTAATCTGCTTCTGCTTGCGACAACTAAAGGTACAAATATAAAAAAATTCCACAATAAACTTGAAATTTAAAAAATACCAATATATGAAACTCCAAAAGAACAGCTTGTGAGTTTAGGTAAAAGAAATCCCCAACAAAAATGCATGGTATTAGAATGCAATTGACATTGCATCGTAAAAAAGCAAAAGAAACCATTGACATTGCATCATAAAAAAGCAAAAGAAATAACGCACTGCTTAGTGCTTAATCATGACCTCGTTTGTTGTTCAAGAGTATGCACAATTTGCAAATTTATGTTTTCCCATAAGGATTCGAAGTTGGAGTCAAAAAAAGTTGAGGGAGCAATTTGCCTGCTCATAAACACATTCAATGTGTAAAAGCTACTGAAAAACCTCATAAACCAATTTTTTTAACATCAACCTAATTAGTACTCCCTTTGTTCCGCAAAACTAGCTCTCATTGTAAATGGAACTAAAAACATAAAGTAAAGACGACTGGCTAGTCTAATCTGCTTCTGCTTGCGACAACTAAAGGTACAAATATAAAAAAATTCCACAATAAACTTGAAATTTAAAAAATACCAATATATGAAACTCCAAAAGAACAGTTTGTGAGTTTAGGTAAAAGAAATCCCCAACAAAAATGCATGGTATTATAATGCAATTGACATTGCATCGTAAAAAAGCAAAAGAAACCATTGACATTGCATCGTAAAAAAGCAAAAGAAATAACGCACTGCTTAGTGCTTAATCATGACCTCGTTTGTTGTTCAAGAGTATGCACAATTTGCAAATTTATATTTTCCCATAAGGATTCGAAGTTGGAGTAAAAAAAAGTTGAGGGAGCAATTTGCTTGCTCATAAACACATTCAATGTGTAAAAGCTACTGGAAAACCTCATAAACCAATTTTTTTAACATCAACCTAATTAGTACTCCCTTTGTTCCGCAAAACTAGCTCTCATTGTAAATTGAACTAAAAACATAAAATTTACAATGTGGACTATTTTTATAGAACGAATAGAGTACTGGAAACCAGTCATATATGTCAAGTTCTATTACATGCACACCTAACCAATTTTGGTCTATGAAAGAGCTAAAGTTGCAACTTGCAAAACTAAAGGTTATGACTGGAAAATTAATATGTATATACCAAAAGAATGACATGACTACCATATTTTCTAGACTAAACCCCTCTTTCCTTATCCTTTTGTCTCAATACTTCTACAAATTAAGCATACTAGAAAAATTTCACTTTAAATCTTACATTCTCAAATTATTCCCTCAGATATGGACTTACAAACTACAATCCAACTCTAGTAAAAAGTACATATCCAGTTTGATAATTAGAAACATGGATGCTATCCATAACAATCTAATGAAAGAATCAAGTGCCAAAATCGATACCAGCAAACGGGAAATGATTGTCCCTTAAAGAAGCAAGCAATCCATCTAACTTCAACTAAATGCTTCTTCAAAATATTTAATCTCTTCAGATAGTTAGTAATTTCTTGTAACCGAGACTGTGTCCATTCCTTCTCAAAAAAATATTGTGTTTTGCATCCTTAAGCAGGTCAAGCCCCTCATTTATCATATGTTTTTGCTTCGGAACAATCATCGACCATGAAACTCCACTAGGCTGGGCCAAATGGTTCGCTTCTATTTCCTTACCCCATAACACAACTCAAGAACTTGTGCTTCAGTGGGCAACATATGTTTCCGAGATTTTTTGGCAACCCTTGAATAAATTTTTCTCAAGCGTCTAATCTTCTCTTATACTTGAACCTTAATTACATAGATATTGATGTTTAATTTATGCATTTTCGAGATGGAAGATTAACACAATCTATTGAAGATGTGAGTCCACTGAAAGATAACTGCAGTTTGAAAGTTTGTGTCATTAATTTTTGGAAGTTCTCGATGTTTAAAGATCTAAACAATTTTTTTCTGTTGAATTGATATAAATTGATAAAAAGATAAATTTATGTAAGTTCACAAGTTTATATTATTGCACGCCATCAAATTAATTATTGTAATTATGCTATATCTTTTAACTTTTTATATTCGTTCAGGGAAACAAGATTCAAGTTTCGTTGAGGAAGAAATTTTTGAAAAGATTCCAGAAAGTTATTGTTCTGAGGGGAATTGTATTCATCTCCAAATTTGGTGTTTTAGAAAACAAGATGAATTACAGAATTGTTAGACACCTTTACAAAATCAATTCTATGCAACAATAATTTGAAATCTTCCAATAATGTGAAATTTATACCTTTTTATGAATTTCATTTTATTTCATGTGATCAGATAATTGGTGGGAATACTAAGACCAATACATGGCTTGATAAATCTTACATGTAATTATATTGTTCAATTAGAATTAGATTCTATGCTTTATTGTTTCATTAAATTGACTTAGACATGTTTTATCCCTTTTATTACTAAATATTGGTGCATGCACTTGATAACATATTGAATATTTTATTTGGATGTACTACCAAAACAATAATCTCTAGAAATAATTTTAATCGACAAATTACACGTGTCACCTCCTCGCAAGTTTCCCTCCCCCTCCCCAAATAAAAATGGAATAAGCTCTTTGATTGCAAAATACTGACTTCCATTGAAATCGAATGAGGGAGCATTTTCCAAAAGGGTCAAATAATTTATTATTAACCTCATTCTACATTGTTTTTTAAATGTTGATTGCACATTGTGCATCAAAAATGCATATTTTTCACATTATTTTTCAAGTTAAGAAAGAAATGAAATTTCAACTTTTGCCTATAGCTGCAAGATATATTTTTGTGTGAAATTTTCACAATTCGTCAAACTTTGTGGCCTTCCATATCGTAAGGTTTTTAGAAAATCAACATAGAAATTAATTTCTTGAAAAATTAGTCAATAGTTAATTGTAGTCAGGGATTCCTACAATATTTGATTCGATGCTGACTGAAATTTATTAATAGTTATACATAGTTCTTATTATTTGATGTGCCCGGCGTAGATTTTCATAAATTCAATAGCCAATAATCTTTATTTTGTGATTTTCTATATCATATAGTTTTCAAAATTAACATGGAAGGTAACTCTACTAAAATTATAGTTGACATCAAATTTTTGATTACATATTACTTGTATTACATATTACAACTTTATGAATTTAAAGTTGCTCAACTTACGTAGGTATTTATGTTTAAATTATGATTTTTTAAATTTCATCGAAGATGTAAGTCCATGAAAAAGTAATTGCAGTTTGAAAATTCGAATCATTAACCTTTGTAAGCCCCAATTCTTAAAGTTCTAGATGATTTTTTTTTCCTATTGACGTGATAATTATTATGAAAAAGTAAGCATGTATAACTTTATTAGAATAAATGATTAGACGAAATGATGCTTCATGTTATGACTTACATGCTCTTATAAATCTCTTAATATGGGTTCAAGAAAATAAGATTCAAACTTCTATGAAAAAGATAAATTTTCATAATACAACTATTGAAAGGAGAGTTTTATTCGTAACTAAATTCGGCATAATGGAAAACAATGTGACATACAAAAATGATGGTCTATCATTGTAAAATCCATTTCTTTGTAACAACTATTGTGAGGTTTTGAAATGTGAAGTCTATACCTCTTTATAAATTTCAATTTTTTGCCTTCTAATGGCGTAATTCGTAGCAAGAATGAAGTCAATGCCTAAGTTAGTAAAATATCCTCTGCTAAATTATTATTGTTTAATACGGTTCAACTGCACTAAAAGTTTAGAAGATTAGACATGAATTTGATAATATATTGTATCATTCTGTGTACGGATGTAAATGTTAATGGGAAAATACATAAAATTGATTCAAAATGGCTCACGGGGTCATTAAGGTGATATTTCTTTGGTAGTAGATATTTTATGATGTTTTCATCTCTTAATAATAATTCATTAAATTTTCAAAAAAAAAAAAATTTGACAACCCGTTGAAATACGATGAAATGAGAAGAGACCTAATATGAACACTTATATGATAAAAAAAGTGACGAAGTAAATATTTTTTATGAAATTGTTTCTTTTGCATGTGATTGTAAATCTTATCGAAAAAAAGAAAAAAAAAAAGATAAAAGTGAAATAAAATGAAATGAGAAGAGACCTAGTATGTACATATTATATGATAAATATAGTGACGAAGTAAATATTTTTTATGAAATTGTTTCTCTTGCGTGTGATTGTAAATCATATCCAAACGAACAAAAAAACAAAGATATAAGGTTTCCAATGATAATTTCCAAATTAGTACTTTTTATATACATTTTAACAACTCTTCAAAATATATTAGAATTTGTACTCAATGATTCATGCATACAATGCACAAACGCATTGGGTTTCATTGAAATTATTGGATAATTCAGCTGTGCAATGGTATATCTAGTAATAATTATAATAATTAAAAAACGGATAAATATATAAAAATTCTAATAAGGGATTCAAAGAATCAAATTGGTATGGAATGTATGATTCTGATTGAGTTAAGAGATGCTGACAAGCCGTCGTCACACTAGTCAAATAATAATTACCTACTTAATACAATTACTAGTAGTAAAGCAGAAAGCAGGGTCGATCCCACAGAGAAGGAATACTAATTACCAGGTATAAATTACTCCTATTATTATCTAGATAAATGATGATCTCAGGTTTATAAAATTCGAAACTAAAATAAATAAATAAAATAAAAGCAATTAATATTAATTCAAATGATCAGACAAAGAAAACCTAGGACATTGGGTTCACCTACCGAATATTTGGTTTAGTTCAATTCACAAATATCTGACTTTTAACTTCTATTAATCTTACAACGATTCACCTAATTAAGAACTATTCACTCTCGTGTTATAATTCTCTTACTTATATTAACCCTATGACTACTCTCGTGACTATAGGGATTAACAAAAGCACATTAAGACCATTAAGAATCAAATATTGCAAAGGTTATAATCTTACTCTCGTAGCTTATAACCTAAGTTTATTATTCCTACGAACTAATACTAATCTTCCACTCTCGCTACTTCAATTAGTATCTTCAGACATGCAAATAGTGGCCAATTACTTACACGAATTAAAACAAGAATAACAAATATTAATTAATGGAAAAATCAAATAATAATGAACTAAATAAACCAAATAAATTCGGTGGCTACACCCAAGCCCTAGATTAAAAGAATTTAGCCACTAAACATTATTAAAAATAATTCAATAATATTTAGAGACATAATAAAAATAAATTAAATAAATTAAAACTTCAAAACCGAATGAAGCCAAAAACCCGCCAAAACTCCCCGGATTTGTTACTCGCTTCGCGGCTTGAAGCTCAAGGACTAGTGGTGCTGCGCGGCGGTGATGTGGTCTCGGCGGTGTGGTGTTTTGCAGCGGCAGAGGAGGCTGTTGCATGGAGTTGGGGCTGGGATGGTGTGGTGGTGCGTGGATGCGGGAGGCGAAGGTGATGGAGTTCAAGTTGGTGCTGTGTCAAGGATGATGGCTGCGTGGTGAAGGAGGAGCAGCGGGTGGTCATGGAAGGTGGGGCTCAGCTGCTTCGGTGGTGCGGCGTGACCAGGAAGGCGGAGTTGATGCTGCTGCTGTTGGCTGCGTTGGTGGAGACGGTGGCTGGTGCGTGCGGCGGTTATGAGGAAGGCGGAGAAGATGGTGATGGAGGTGTAGGGTTCGGTGGTTTTCGGTCAAGTTTCGGTTCAGTTCTCCTGTAAAAATAAATCCCTAATCCTCTTTTTATAGGTTTCTGGCTAAACCCTACTCCTTGAAGAACAAGAAAACTTGTTTCCCAATTAATATCGGGATTAAAATTCTTATCCAATTCCAATCCCAAATCGGCCGCACATTCATCGTAACCTTCGGCCAATTTCCAAAAACTTAATTAAACATTCTAAAATTGCATCATTGGCCCTCCAATTCTCTAAACTCATTAATCTCTTCCCCATCAATTGCTCCAATCTTCAATTCTTTCCCATTGAGTTGCTTTTAATTCGATTTTAGCTCAAAACTTCAACAATTCTTCATTTGAGTACAATTCCTACAATTAAAGATAAAATCACATAAATAGCATATTTGTACTCAAAATATATTGCAAAAATCACAAATTAGGGTTATAATAAATAGGTAAAATATAAGCATATCAGATGCTTTTTTCAGACCACCTCTTAAGTAGTGGCTAACAAATAATTTGAGCAATGATATTGGCCTTGATGTTGTATCATGGTAGTGTAGATTTGGAGTTGCACTATGGAAGATCTGGCTAGCTAGAAATGAAAAAATTTTCAAAAATGTGTAGCCTTGTGCTTTTTAGCGAGCGAGGCAGATAGAGTCTCACTTATTGAGAATCAAGGTGGCGATGTCTTTCAACAAACTTCTGGGTGGAACAGGGAAACTTGGGTGTCTCAATGTATTTGTTAGGAGAGACCATCTGATGGTTGGGTGAATGATAAGGGTCTATCAATGATTCCCATGAAATGATAGGATCGTTCTTGAATGATCTAGTTCTGCCAAGCTTCTAATCTTAGTGAACACAACAACAATGGGTATATTAAACTCACTACCTTTGAATCACACCTTAAAAAGATTTCTGGAAAGCTTCCAAGTAATTCAACCCGGATCTAAAAGGTACAACTCTATTTATAGTAGTAGGAATAGCTAAAAATAAAGTCTAAGGGATTGAAAGTAGTGACTTTTGGTTATATATGAATTTATTCTTCCATAAATTCATATTTGACTTCATGGTCTTCAATATTGACTTGGTGATCTTCAAGACTTGATTTTATGGCCTTCAAGATTTCATGGAAAGCAACAATTTGACTTTGTGGTCTTCTAGGCTTAATTTGACTCCTTTGGGTGCATGAATTTGACCAGATTTGTTGAATGTTTTTATTGCTTTCAAGACTTGAATTAATAGCAAACCATTTTTTGACCAGATTTGACTTCTGGAGTGTTGAATGATTTTCTCCTTGGACGACATTTCTTGGACCCAATACAAAGGTCGTGATCAATACCACAGGTCAACAACATGTACGGGTAGCCCTTGGTCCATAATCTTCAAGAGAAGCACAGAATTGGGCTCGGTAGCAAATTGTATTGCATGACTATTGTGAGACACTTGTCTTAATCAAAAGTGCCAATATTTCTTGCCGTTTCTTCCATCTTGAACATGTAATTGGGCCAAACACATGCTTCAAAGAATCATCTTTATGAATTTGATATGAAACAGGAGACTCTTGAACTTCCTAATCGTAATCTTCCATATTAGGCTTGTGGTAAGAAGTTTGGTTACTATCAGTGAAGGTGAATACTGACGGTACTTTTGATCGCAAATTCGCAATACGGGAATGGTGGCTGCAAGAGGATTGATACATGGTCCTCAATGTTCGCGGCTTGGTGAATTCATTGTGAATATAGGCTATTGTACGATTACTGGTACAGAGTTGTGGGTTTGTTTTACGGTTCACAGTTACCTTGGAATCGAGGTTACAGTCAAGTCGTTGCCGATTTGTCATCTTTATTATATTATTAGAATTCAATTAAAAATATCTTATTCTTGTTAGGACAATTTTGTAAAATAAATAGGTGAGCAGACTCTCTATATATAAAAGCAAACTCTCAGTTTGAGGATCTTTGCCGGGAATTGAATCACGGTAATTTGGCACCCTGACGTCACCCACCACCATCGCCGCGCGGCCGCCACCACTACCGAGTTTCATCGGATTTTCCTCAGCAACTACAAGTGCCTGCTGAAATCTCCGCGCGGAATCATGAGTTAGAAAGTTTTCTGAACTGACGGGCTGATTAGAATTTAGAAGTAGAGAGCTAACGCAACCCCTTTTGATCAACCCAAATCGGCCATGAAATCGGTTCCTTAAAGGAAAAGATCACAAAGGAGCAGAAAGATAGACTCAGCTCTCTTCCTGACTCCGTCCTATGTCACATTCTCTCTTTCATGCCGACGAAATATGCAGCTAGGACATCCCTTCTGTCAACCAATTGGAAGCACCTTTTTCTAGATGTCCCCAAAATCGAAATTGATCAGGGATTTGGATTTAGTACTGTTTCGGAGCGAAAGAGTTGGAATTTCTTTGCCTTTCTGAATAGGAGAGTTGCGTAGAGTAGAAGTAGAACCCCCATAACCGAGTTCCGATTGAAATGCCCGACGATGACGGAGGATTGGATGAGTGGTTTATGGTCGTCATGGCTTACTACATTACTGTTTTGTAGCATCCAAATCCTTGAAATTGAAGTAAACAGCAGTGTTCCGTTGCGTCCGCCAACAAGGATTTTTACATCGGAAACGATACGAGTGTTAATACTATGTGGGAAGAACATTGTTTTGAAGGTTCCGAAATCTGTCAGCCTGCCTAAACTCAAGGTACTCCACTTATACCGTTGCGATATTCAGTTTGATTCCAACAGTTTGAAAATTGCTGATGAAGGGTGTCCCCTGCTTGAGGAATTGGAATTGATTGAAATTACATTCCCTGATATCGCAGTCATTGGAATCTCTCTGCCCACATTGAAAAGGATAGGTTTAACCATTGGATATGAAAAAGAGTTTAGGATTGACATTCATGCTCCACAACTTCAGCATATCTATTGTGGTCTTGTAAGTTGTCTGACACCAGACATTCAATTCCATTTGGTCAACTGTGGATCTCTGGTGTCGGCAAAGTTTTCTAGCTATTTCCCTCCATTAGCCCCTGGAAGTCAATGGTATTTTGAATTTTTGCGCGAGTTCAAGGAAATCAAAGAGCTTCACTTATCTGAGATCTTTCTTATGGTAAACTTTCACAATTCTGCAGTTTCTAGTTGGCCCACAGTCCAAATGATGCTGTATTCAAAATTACTACCTTTTTTTCTGGTGTTTTGTGTAGTGTTTCATCAGGCATGCCGATTCCTTGCCTACGTTTCCACATTTGATCCGTTTAGAGCTGTCTGCAACTGAAGACATAATGTGGATTCTACTTCAACGATCGCCGGTTCTAGAAGAGCTTGATTGCTACATGGTATGAGTACTAATATGCTTCAGTCCTAGAAAAGTCATATGTATCGAATTAAAATGCATATCAAAATGATTGCTTTGTTTTTTTTTTTTTATAGTTGAAGACATGGTTACTGTAAAATTTTATACCATTGTACAATTCCTTTGTTTGTGCAGCCCGATAGAGCTATTTTAGCTCCTTTGGAGAATGAACCACTGTGTTTAACTCAAAATCTTAGAGAAATCAGAATAAGAAACTTCAAGGGGGATGAACCTGAGCGTGAACTAGTTAGATACTTTTTACAGCATGGAGGAGTACTTAAGAGGATGATTATAGAGCGTTCAAGCGATAGCTTAGAGGAATGGCCAGCGTTGATGTGGAAGCCGTTAACAAAGCTCAGACGGCGCTCACCGAAATTTGAGCTCGAGCTCGTTTGAAGCTAAGAACTTGTCTGTTTGATATCTTTCAATCCAATTGGCAAAAAACAAAAAAAAAACCCTGCAGGATCTCATGCATCTGGTGCATTACTTTCAACTGATGCTAAATCAAGTGTGGCATACTATATCTTCAGTTGAGCTGGTTTTATTTCATAATGCAAGAGCTTGTCAAGTTTAAGAGCATTGGTGTTGAAAACCCAAGTTCATTTTTCTTTGGCAGTTTAATATTCTTAATAGTAGTTTCTTGTGTTAATTTTATATTTTTTTGGAAGGATTTGTAAGTAAATTGGACTCCAGAAAAGCATGGAAGATTATGCAGAGGACTCCGTCATAGATCTCATTGCTAGAGTTAATCAACTAGTCAAGTGAACTTGTGTTGAGTTCATAGCCAGATACAATAACTATACCGCCAAAAATGTAATTCGGTTTTGAATGTGATCGCTAATTTCTTTTTGCTTCTTAGCTAGTCCCGTCTTTGAGCTCATCCATTTACTGGGTGAAACATCCTCCATAACAGAGTACTGCCTCTGTTCCAAAAAAAGTAATTCATATTGAGTTTAGAGATTTGTACTAGTTCCAGTACTAATTTAAAAGATCGATATAGACTATTTTTTGAGACGGAGGAATTATATCAAAATGTTGCTTTATTTTTTTTTGTTTGCGGAAGAAATAGATTACGGAGTTTAATGCCATTGCATCCCTTTGTTTGTGCAGCTCAATAGTGGTGGTCTTTAAAGATCCCCCGGAGAATGAACCTCATGTGTAACTTAAAATCCTAGACAAATTTGAATAAGAAATCTTTAGGGGATGAAACTGAACCTGCAGTAGATAAGGATACATTTTGCAGCATGGAACATTTCTTGAGAGGACGGTTATAGAGGGTGCGAGGCATCCAATAAAAGAAGGGCCAGAGTCGATATGGAAGCTGTTAAAACTGCGCTCACCAAACTGTGTCGAATTCGGTTCCACGTGGATGTAATTTACATCTTTTGAGTTTTGTGTCTACTGGTACGAGCTGAGAAATATTGAATGTGTTCAGAGTTCAGACGGCGCGCAAGAATCCGTGTGGAAGATTAAGAGCCTTGGGATGGAAAACCCCAAAGTATATTCTTCTTGTGAACTTTCAATAATTTTAACTAGATGCTTGGCCAGGCAGATGTCCGGGCACCTCCTCTACTTTAATTTTGTGTTAATAGATAAATGAATTTTTGATTTGGAAAAAATAAAATAGCTACACATTTATTTTTTCTCGTTTTTAGCCAAAAATAAAAATAAAAAAAAATCATCTGCAAAAGGAGAAAAAATATTGAAAAGTACACCGATGCAGAAATCATACAAAAGAATGTGGAGTAATAAAAGAGATAAGTTTATGGACAAATTTAAATGGTATCTTAATTTGATTGATAAATGATAAGTGCTAGGAGTTAAAATTGTGTAGCTATTTTTGTAAATTAGCTTTTGTTTTTCCAGATAAGAAGTTTTTTTTTTCTATTAAAAAAGGATGACACGTGCCAGAATGGTTAAAGCAATATAGTGCATTTGGAGCCAAAATTTTTTTTAAAAAAAATTGTCACATCAACATCATGTATTCTGCTTTAATAGGGTAAAAGGGATTACCTTATCAAAAATAATTTTAATGGAAGATTCTTGTTTAATACTAGGTTTCACTTTCCTTGGTCGTCAAGGTCACATTTTACATATAAAGGCTGCAGCAATCGAGAAATGTCGAGCACGCAACCTAGTTCTAGGAATAGTGTATCTTTTGGAATAAAAGTCTTCTACCATCTGAATCCAAAGCCTTATAAAGGGAGCGTGTCTTAAAATGTTGTAAACAAGTAAAGGTTACAGGGGAACTGAGCCGTAGAACACCACCTCTGCGGGGCCAGTCATGTAGACATGGTTATTTTCTTCTCTCCACTCAATTTGCAATGGTCCTCCAGGTAAATCCACCCTGCAGGCCTGAACAATAAAAAATGAATTTATCAAGATTAAATGGAAATATTTAACAAGATTTATGTATCAGCCCGCATGACAATTGGGACCAGATTTCTTACCCTCCCTGCACGACCTTCAAGCACTGCCGCGACAACTACTGCACAAGCACCGGTCCCACAAGCTAGAGTAGCCCCTAAAGAAGCAAACCTCAAACTTCAGAACAACTGGACATTTGGAAGCTTTGGATTCAATCACAGCAAACATGTAACAGATGATGCAAGTTTACTCCTAATTTAAAAATAAAACCCCCCCCCCCCCGACATAGCAAGTTTACTATTCAATCACAGCAAGTTTACTATCTTTCTTTATGTTTTTTTTTTAATGTTGCCTTGGGCAGCCGAGCTTCATTGACGTAATGATATTAGAGAACGAAGCTGTTAGTCAGAGCTGTAAAAACTAGGGCTACCCCTGAAGTTTGCTTTTAATCCCAAAAACGAAGAAAAAGAAAAATGACCAGCTGAGCATGTAATTCTCTAAGTGAAAGCAAAAAACTAACCAGCGCCACGCTCCCAAACACGCATTTTAAGGTGCGTAGGAGAAAACACTTGCACAAACTCTGCAATCCAAAACAAAAGGATGAGACTCCAATCAGTGCGAACTCGATAATAGCCACGGCTCATTCTAAAACCACAGTCAAAACAAAGAAAATAATAACAAATTCAAGAAGCTGAAAGAGATAAAAATTCTCATGAACTGCAAAACCTTCAGTTACACGATTTCCTAATACATGCAAATGAAAGTGACTAGTCCATGAGATTATAAGGATCCAAGTATAATGGAAATTTAGCAATAGCACCGACCTGTGTTGGTTCGGGCCGGGAACATAAAGTGATGTTCAAACTTTGGACCTATTTCTCCCAGGTTCAATTCATCAACTTCCAGATTCTGTTTGGTACACAAATAGAGATGTGTGTAAGATGATGATAGAGAAAACTGCTACTGCTTTAAAACCACTGAAGTTGAGAATCGAATAAAGATAAAGAGTCGCTTTTATAATTAGCAAATTTGCTGGTTCATGTTTACGCAATTCCAACTTCATACTGTCCTGGAGAACAATTTATCGAAATATTCTTTGCTTTCTATTAACCAAGACCGACACTAGTCTAGCCAGCAAAGTTATATTAAAAGATTGAAACCTTAATATAAGTCATAAAAGAGATAATATACCTCACTTAAATCCGTACCGAAAACAACACAGTGAGGATTTCCCATGCTAACACATGTTGCACTCCAAGATACTCCATCCACGTCCAATTTAGATTTCACAACTGATTGATCCTTATTTGGCACCAACCTTGTCGGGACATCTGGTGCCTTCAAAATTGGCTCGCCCATGTCAACTCTAACCTGAATTGAGAAAACAAGCAGGCTTTTAAAGTTACAAAGATAATAATATACCTCAAGTTTGATACATTTTTGAATTCCAAAATGCATGAACCAAAAGGCACGATATAAAAACTGGGTGCCAAGTGATATTACATACCTGACCATCTTCTTGAATTTCAGGAATAATTAGACCTGCACCAGTATGTATAGTGTAACTGCCAAAGAAAGAAGATGTCAAAATACACATACACCCACACAACAAAAAGAAAGGAAATACCCCATGTAGACAAATTAAATGAAGATGTGAGGGAAATACTACATTATTATCCACGTCATTTTGTAACTTCAATGCCAATCAAATATTTGGGAGATCAAAATTCAAGCTTAGGGTAAAACAACACCCAACAAAAAAAGGGTCACCAAACTCCCTGAAGGATGAGGAAGTTATGTTTGCAAGACTGAAGAAATGTAGCAGTGTTTCATGTAGTAGGCTACGCATGAAAGGCCAAAACCATGCTACTAGAATTCCGTCCCAAAAGTCAGAACTATCAAAACAAAACAAAAGCTGAGACTGAAGTAATGTGATGAATTGATGATTCCATAATTAAATAAGAAAACCATAAAAAAATCTTGAAAAGAAAATGCATCCAATAGATTGATCTCTATAATGATGTAGCACTCAACAATGGCAAAAATGTATTCTTTGTGGCTACCTCCACCGAAAGAAGTTCCAAAGGGTAGCGAAAAGCTTGCCAAACATTAACAATCAGTTTAGCACACCAATTATGCAGCATTACCATTACCATACTAATACGACAATGACTGTAAACGAAATAAATCAGAGATGTGACAAGCATATCCTTTATCCTTACAATAAAATAAGAACCACACCTTTGCTTGCCTTGAGAATTTTCAAGCTCAGAAATAAATCTTGCTAAGCATCTGATCCCATTGCCACACATCTACAAGGAACAAAATTCCCTGTGAGAAAGGGATCCCACCACATGTCAAAGCATCAAACTAGAAGAGTATGCAATCAAAAGGCCAAAAGTGAGCCATCAACAATACGAGAAACCAAATCAGTGCATCATGTAGGATCATTATAACACTAAAATGTAGTGCACAAATTTCTTCTTTCCGTAGTTATAATGGTTACTGTGTTCTGTTCCATCTACCCAACAGTAGAGATAAATAATCTTCTAGAGGGTTGGAGCAACACTACCAGTGCAAATCCATCCAATCATTTTCTGCAAAGATAAGCAGGAAACTAGGTGAACTGCTACTATGAGGGTGATCACTTTAGACATCTTGGTATTACATAATTCTTCACACTCCAAATGGTTCATTAGTTTGAACCCAACAAACCACAAAAAAGGCATGTGAACAGAGGGTAAAACTCGTATGAAGTTGTGCATAGTTTTATTTCTTAATGAAATAAAACTATGCATAGTTTTATTTCTTAATGAAATGTAACAGATCATAAGGAAGTAGTATTTGCTTTTCACTTCAAGCTTATGTTCTTTGGATAACAGAAGATCTTTCCAAAAATGATTTGAGTCTGTTCTATTTAACCTAAAGAACAAGATTTGATTCTTTATACGAAGATTCAGTGGGCATGAAAATTGGAATGAGAAACTGAAAATCATAAGTGTAAATGAAACTTGTCCGTATGCATCATGACCCCACTAATGTTTTTTTCTGATTCCTCCATTTTGAGCCTAAAATCTGAATGAAGATAAACCCGGAGAAACAAAATCAGACCAGAAACAGAGAAAAGCATTTTGAAAAAATGAAGAAGAATGAAGTCACCTCCGGCTCACTACCATCCGAATTGAAAATCCTCATAGTATAGTCAGTCCCATTGATTCCTGGCAACGCAAATATGACTCCATCTGCACCAATCCCAAAGTTACGGTCGCACAATTTAACCGCTTGCTCTGAAGTGATTTTGGGCACAGTAGAATCTCGATTATCAACCTACTCAACAATCACACACCAAAAAAAAAAAAGAGACAATAGCAACAATAATTCAGATTCTATGCAATCGATATTAAGCCAAGAAAATAATACAAATTAAATTGAATGAAAACCATTGTACCAAAATGAAGTCATTTCCGAGGCCGTGGTACTTGACGAAGTGAAGGATGTCGGTCTCCTTACGGTCAAGAAAAGGAATTGAGGAAGACTTCACTTCGCTCAAGGAGGAAGACATGGCGGCGGAGCAAAGCCTGAGCGAGCGAGGGTTTGGGAAGTTGCTGCTGACATTAACGACGACGAATTGAAGTCTGTTCGGCTGCAGAGAAGCTGACGATGATGGAGAAGATGAAGAGAGGAATGCGTTGCTTTGAGCGGAACTGAGACAGAGAGCAGCGTGGTCAGCGCCGGCGGAGAGTAGGAATTTGGCGGCGCCGGTCACCATTTTCAACTGCTAATTCAGACAAGTGAGAGAGAGAAAGAGAGGAAACTGATAAAGACAAGTGATATTCTTTTTTTTTTTACTATTTTAAATTTTATTTTTACTCATATTTATTTAATCAGAACACTTAAATATTCTCTCTCATCATCTTTGTGATGAGAATCTTCCATTTAAAATTCGTACAAATCCACCTTCTCAGCCACCTACATCATGATTAACACCTTCTCAGTCTCATTGTTTCCTTCTACTAATCTATCCTCTTTTTTTTTCTCCTCTATGACTCCTTCACCGGGTATAACCTATTACAAGTAATAAAAAAAATAAAATTATAACATCAAAACTAATATATATGAACACTATCCATATATAGTATAAACAATACTTGCTATAAAATTTAGATTTTGATTAGGCATATAAACATGAAACCCGCTTAGCATTTATCTGCTCTTAATAATTCATCATATTACGAACAACAACTAAAAAATGTATGAACAATGGGTTAATAATGTATGAAAAAAAATTTAGTATAATGATAAATGTATGAACTTTACATCATGGATGTATGAACATGGTGGGAAAGAAAAGATAGAAGTTGTATGAACATGTTGCTTATGAACACGAAGAATTACAATAACATCAATAATAAAAATGTTTCTAGATATCTTTGGGCCAATAATCAGTTACAAGACCTCATTCAATTAAGTGAAACAAAACTTTTATAAGAATTAAATATTGTAATTAGAAAGTGAACACACCAAGCGAAAACTATTCAAATAGTTAGAAAAACGAAATATGAAAATTAAGATTCACAAATATGATAAACTCCTATAAGAGAAAAAAAAAATAATGAACAAAATATAATGATAGTATGAACTTTTTTATTTAACTGTATGAACTTCAACATATCAAAAATTTGTTATCAAGATTGAGAAAATTATTAAAATACGATTATGCACAAAAGGTAATAATAGTTTAAACATATCGTTTTCATGTATGAACTTTAGAATATAGCTCGAAGTTTGGTATTAAGATTGAACAAATTACTAAAATTAAGGTAAAAATAAAAGAAAAAATTATAAAACTAAAAATAAAAACCCTTCTTTTTTTTTAATGATTTCAACAACAATAATAACAGTTATTTAGGAATTGATGACTTAATTAGACTGCATTAAAAAACATTTATGAATAATTCATTATTTATGAACTTCAATGTATTCATTGAGATTTAGTATCTGTCAAACGTATACAAAAAAAGAACAACATGCATTGTCATCCGAACAATATTCATGGAAAAATTAATATCAATATATGAAATTTAAGCAATAAATTGAAATAAATGGAAAATAAGAACCTTTTTTTGTGATATTCCTTTTCTTTTCAGCACGGTTCAGCATGGTGATGGCTGCAGTATTGATGATTCAGCAACTACGATTCTTCATCGGCGAGGAGAATTTTACTCGGATAAGGGGATACAGTGAAAGATGAGAAGTATTTATGTTAAATTTTGATTCTTTCATGTATATATTAATCATAGGGAAAAGATGGTTTGGATTAAATACTATAAGGATTAATACAAATTTCCTAATTTTTCTCCCAAAATCTTAGCGCTTGGCAACAAAAATTGGTTATATATTTATTTCCTAAAAAATAGCTAAAAGTAGCGCGTGTTTAAACAAATAGTTCATAGTGCAATATGAACCATGGTCCACTATATAACAATTGTTATATAACTAGGTTCTCGATGGTCCACTATATAACAATTGTTATATAACTAGGTTCTCGACCTGTGCATTCGCACAGGTACATAATTATTGAATAATTTTTTTCTTCTATCTTAATCATTTTTAATAAGACAAATAAAAATTAATTGAGTATTTTATCAAATCAACATAAATTGTTTTATTATACAGGTATTATTATTATTATACAATGATTGTAGACACTTACATTTGATATTAAGAAACAAGTTAGAAACTATATTTCTCATATATATTGATCATAAAAGGCAATGAAAAAACATTAAACTAAGAGAAAAAAGATTAGGACGTTTGATTAATAATAATTAAAAAAATAATTTAGTATCTTTTGACATAAAAGACCTCGAAAAAGCTTATGTGTCACAGACTATAACTATGAACAGATAATTACAGGAAAGGGAAGTGATTCAATAAGATAAAAACCTAAGAGATAAAATATGAATTGAATTGCAGCAAGCATATATCCTTTTACAAGTGTTCTGAATTGAAATTTTGCCAATCTACAGTATGTGCAATCCAAACATTTCCTTTTCTTTTACTATTATTTTAAGAGAATCTGCACCTTCCGTGATAATCCTTTTTGGAAGGGTTGTCCTTCCAATCACAGAAGCTGCAATTTTGACAACAATTCAACAAAGGAGGAACTTTGGCATTATGAATTATATGACAATTAATAGGAACTGGATCCAAATAACAAATAGGAATTGAGTTGTATAACAACATATTACTACTTCAGAAGTATTTTTGAAACATAAACCCATGCGCTTACTCGTATCTATATATTCCTGAGAAAACATTAGCATATTCATCTTAACAATGAAATTGATAATAAGGGACTGATGGATTTCAGCACTAAAATCCAGAAGGTCCTTCGAAAAACATTACCAAAGTTGTTGTTGATGTAACTCATTGATTCACCACTCTTTGTCAGTTGTTGCATTGGCTTTGAGTGTCGTCGGCAATAACACCGAGGGCCATCGGAGTTTTATTCGAAGTCGTGGCCAATTGAAAGAATAGAGTGGATATATTAATTAACTAAAAAATGAGAAAAAATTCATTGTGTCATTCCTGCTTTCGAATTTACTGTAGGTATTCTAGAACTTTTCAAACTTAATAGTTCTTGCTGCAACTGCCTCAATCAAATTTAGCCGACAGTGGGTTTCAAATTGAGCATCTGACATGAGAGAAGAAATTTTGAGTTCCCCTGAATTTTTTGAAATATGCATCTGTCAACTGGATAGCTGTCCGACCCAAAAAAAAAAAATGTCATTTGGTTCTATGATGATTTCAAAGAATTGACTCCGTTTATCTCTTCATAGTGTTGCGTGCCTTGCGGCCGTGAGTCTGCACAATAATGAAAAATTAGTAGTAATGTTGAAAATAATTTACATTCGTGCGACAATTTGCAACAGATTAGTTTGAAGGAAAAGGGGAAGACAGTTTTGGAACCAGAGTTGGGGGTTCAATTTAGATAATAAAGAACAGTTTTCAATCACGTTTGTTTTAACTGATCAGTTTTGGTTTATTGCTAAAAATAAGGGGGCATTAGGAGATGGAGTCGAGGATGATCAAAACCACACGGGTTAAGATTTTGGGTGGAAAACTTTGAAGGATACCTTGACATTTGTTTTTTGGGCTGAAATTAAAGATAACTAGATGCTTGGCCCAGGCAGATGCCCGGGCGCCCTCTACTTTAAATTTGTGTTAATAGATAAATAAATTCTTGATTTGGAAAAAATAAAATAGCTACACATTTGGTTTTTTTTTTCCTTTTTTTAGTCAAAAATAAAAAAAATAAAAAATCATCTGCCAAAGGAAAAAAATATTAAAAAGTACAACGATGTAGAAATCATACAAAAGAATGTGGAATAATAAAGGGGATAAGTTTATGGACAAATTTAAATGCTATTTTAATTTGATTGATAGATGATAAATGTTAGGAGTTAAAATTGTGTAGTTATTTTTGTAAAGTAGCTTTATTTCTTGGGATAAGATTTTTTTTCTTTTAAAAAGGGGATAACACGTGGCAGAATGGTCAATGCAATATGGTGCATTTGGAGCCAAAAAGTTTTAATAAGAAGTTGCCACATCAACATCCTGTATTCTGCTTTAATAGGGTAAAAGGGATTTGACGCTTGGAATTTTAGGTTAAAAGTATGTTTTTGCTATAATGAGGTTTATAAATTATTTTGACCAAAATGGACGGACCTAATCGTTCTCCTTCTCTCAACGCATATTAAGGAATATGCCCTCTGGTCCTTAACATAAATTTGATTTTGTCCTAAGCTTCACCTAGTATGCATTTTTTATTGATGAAAAATTTTTAAAAATATATTTTTGTATTCGTTGTGTTCTCTTGATTGTTATGAAATATTTTTAAGGTTTTTTTCGTTAATTAAAAATATGTAGTATGTAAAACTTAGGACAAATAAAAAAGCCTTATTTTAAGGACCGAAGGGAGTAATTGCTAATGTGCGCAAGCCATGGCTAAGAAGAAAACTAAGGATAAGAGAGTAAAAAAAAGAACCTGTAATTGAAAAGGCAAATGAGTTCCTATCTATTTCACCAAAGATTTTGAGGAGAATTGTTGAAGAAAAGAGAGATCTACAATTCGAAAAAGTTCATCTAAGATTGGGATTGAGACAGATCGCCTGAAGTCCGGTAAAAATTGCGTTAATTCCATTATAGAAAAGGATTTGAGGGGTCAAGCATTAAAGTTGAGCCAGATCTTGGCATCAAACCGCTAGAAAATTAAAATAGTCTGCGGCAAATGACGGTGAGAAGCAAGAAAAGATGTCAAGTTCGGAACCGTTTGATGTTAAGAAGCTACGAAGGGGAGGTATGCCACTGGAATTTCTGGAGCCAGGGGAACATGGTGGATTAATGGTTGCAGCTGTTCAAAAGTTTGATGTTCAACCGGACTGAAATACTGGAGATCTTTTGTGATCAATTTTGTGCTAGGGATTAATCCACTATTCAAAGTGATGGACATCTATTATAAAAAAATTTGGAAGCACTAGAACATAGATAAGATACTATTACTTCCTACGGGCATATTTGTAATTCGGTTCAAGAAGATGGAAACCATGAATGAAGCTTTAGCAGAGCCGATCAACTATCTGGGTTCTAACCTAGTAATTGTCAAACCGTGGAAGGTGCAGAAGGGGTCAAACAACAAAGAAGTTAAGCATGTTTCAGTATGGATTCAGTTACCTAGACTTGAACTCAAGTTTTGGAATCCGCCAACTTTAAACCATATTGCAAGTACTTTAGGACAACCTATTGCAACTAATGCTTTTATAGTTGAGAGAGATAAAGTAGCTTTGCACATGTACTGTTGGATGTGGAGGTTAGCGGAACAAGGGGTGAATTACCAATGGAGACCAAAGCAGTGCAAGCATTGTAAAAACTTCAGCCTTGGAAAGGAAGACTATAGGAAGAAAGCCATGATTAATGATGATGATAAGAAAGATTAAGAAGAACAGGGAAAAAAGAACAAGGTGTTTGAATGGAATGTTACCTTTTCTGAATAATGAGAAACAGTTTGAAAGAACCGACAAGTTGATTGCTAGACCTACTGGTCTTCGAACCAGAAATAAATCGGCTTAATTTTTCTTCACTTGACTCATCATAAGTCAAACGAAGATTAGTGTTTTTTTGACGGTCTAGATTTAATTATCGTGTGCAAAATTTTTTTGAATATGTTCTTGAATTAATTCGCTACGAAAACAAAGGAACTCTTCCATTTTGCATGAAATGTCATTGTTTTTTATTTCTGGAATATGAGTGTGGGTAAACAAGAATGAAAAAAACTATAGATGAGAAGAACACAGTGCAGGAGAATGACGAGATAATCAGTGGCAAAGTTCAGAAGGATGTCATACGATCTCTAGTTAGAGAAAAACAGATTGAAGTATCTAATGGTTTTACTGTGCTTACTGGAATAGATGATGAAGAAGGAATAAGTGGCAAGAATGCATAAGAGCATTTGCAACTAGAGACGGGAGAAATGGAGTTGCAGAAGGGCAATGCTAGGTGTCAGAACCCTATTGATCCAGGTATATCTATATGATAAGCATTTTACATTGGAAAACTAAGGGTTTAAATAGACCTCTAAAGAAAAAATAAGTTGGATGACTTAGTACTATGTATAATGTCGTACTAATAAGCCTAGTTGAAGCTTAATTGGAGACTAGTAGATATGATGAGTAAACATTGGCCAGGATTTGAATGGTGTGGTGATAGTATTAATAAGGAAAAGGGAAAAATATTGATGATCTGGAATCCATGATGTACACAAGTGAATATAATACAGAAGGGAAATCGATTTTTTCACTGTTGGATAAAATTTGTTAGTAGCAAACAGGGTTTCTTCTATAGTGCCATTTATGGGTCTTATAGTCAAGATGAAAAGATTCAAGATAATACTGGCCTCGAGTATTAGTAACAGTTGGTTAGCTATGGGGGACTATAACAATGTATTGGCTATGGATGAAAGAGTGAGTGGGAATCAAGTGACCTTAATGAAATATTAGGGTCGCAAAGGTACGTAGACTTGTGTGAACTGGAAGACTTGAAACAATAGGGTCTTAAATATACATGGCCAAATAAAGAGATAGGAGTTGGGAGAATTTGCTCTAAGATTGATAAACCCTTGTCAATGGGTACTGGGTAATGGAGTATCCTAACTCTTCCATCACTATTATGGTGGAAGGAATATCACATCATTCCCCTCTACTTGTACAAATGACAGGAGAATTAATCCATAGACTTAAACCATATAGGTTTTTAATATATGGTGTCATTCAAAGGATTTTTTAAAAATTGGTGAGTGGCTCGTGGACTGCTCTCGTGAAGGGAACCTATATGTGTTAGGTATTTACTAAAGTCAAAAGATTGAAACCTATCTTGAAGAACCTGAATAGAACTCAATTTTTGGATATTCAGAATAAGATTGAGAGACTCATATTAGCACTGGAAAATGTTAAGGACATGATAAATGGAAATGGAGTAGATGAACACTATTGAACCAAGAAAGAGAGTTGTATAGAGAATATTTACAAATCAGTAAGGCTTATGAAAGTTTCTCACAACAAAAGATAAAAGAGTTAGGGGTGAAATAGGAGGATTCACACAATTCTTTTTTTCATGGAAAAATGAGAATTAGGGTTATGAGAAATAGGGTTTCCTCAAATGCTAAGGAAGATGAAGAAGTGGTTACTGGTTGACCAATTGTTAGAGATCACTTCATCATCCTTTTTTCAAAACCAGTAGGGTTAGAATAGCGGCAAACAAAGAGCTTAGATAGAAATGGATATGTGTTGGACTGGAAGCAACAAGTGAGTCTAATCAGGAAGGTGGTTCCTCATAAAGTGAAAGAGGCAATTTTGGATACCCACAGTTGCAAGAGTCCACGCTTGGATGGATCTAGGAGTGATTTTTATAAGGGAGCATGACCAGTGATTAAGGAGGGTGTCACCAAGGCCGTGATGGAGTTTTTGAGCATGGACAACTAGTCAAGTAGCTAAATTCGACACTTCTAGTACTTATACCTAAGAATAACGCCCCACAAAATGCTGCTAAATATAGACCCATTGCTTATTCCAATGTGATCTATAAATGCATTTCAAAAATTATATGTGAAATATTGAATTCTGTTTTAACAGAGTTAGTAGATAAAAATCAGGGTGCCTTTGTAAGTAATAGATTAATCCTTTACAACATTTTATTTACTCAGGACTTGATTAAATAACACTGTAGAAAGAACATTAGTGGCTGATGTTTTTTAAAGATTGATGTCAAAGAAGCTTATGATTCGGTAGAGTGGAGTTTTATAGAGGAGATGCTAGATAGTTTTGGATTCCTTATATCTTTTTCTCATAAAGTGCTAGAAGGTCTCAAGACTCTCTCATTCTCCATTGCTTTAAATGAGAAAAATTGTGTTTTTTTCAGGAAAAAAAAAGGGGCAAGGTGATCACATGTCGCCTTTGTTGTTTGTGTTGGTAATGGAGTATCTTACAAGACTCAAGATAGAAGCTACTACTGATAAGAAATTTCAATACCACCACAATATAAAGGACTGAAGTTAACCAACATTTGGGATGGTTCTAGAATTCTGGAGGTACTGAAAAGGTTCTCTGATACTACTAGTTTAGTAGCTAATCAAGCTAAATCAGAAATTTTTTTAGGAGAAGTTTCGGAAGACTTGAAGGGCTATCTATGCAGATTAATAGGATTTAGAATGGAGACATTTCTAATGATGTATCTAGGGGTTCCTATATCTCCAAGGGAATGGAATCAAGCTAACTGTGAGATGCTAATCCAGAAGATTGCTGCAAAAACCAGATGATGAAGTACAAAACATCTTAATTACACTGGAAAGCTGCAATTAGTGAATTCGGTCTTAATGGCAATGAATAATTTTTTGTTTCTGTCTTTATTTTACCTCATGGTGTCACTCAGCTAGTAAACAGATTATGCAAATGTTTTCTTTTGAGCGTTAAAGAAACAAGTAGAAGTTAAACTCTGGTCAGTTGGACAAAGTTCGCAAAAGAAATAAAGAAGGAGATCTTAATATAAGAGATGTTCGAGTCTGGAATGAAGCAACTTTGATAAAGCAAATTTGGTGTAATACAGCCAAAGAGGATAATTGGTGGATCCATGAACAGTATATATAGCAGTAGAACTTCTGGAAGATGCAACCTAAGCAGAGTTTCAACTGGCACTAGAGGAGACTGTTGAATGTCAATGAGAAAGTGAAAGATGAATTTGAATGACTAAGGCGGAAGCACACATCATCAGGTAAATACTCTCTTACATCAGGGTACTGTTAGCTGGTTGGCAGTGTTGATGAAAAACCTACAGTTTTGTTCATATGGGAGAGATTTATTGTTGCGAAACATTCTTTCATCTTATGTGTTTTGCCAAAGCAGGTTGCTCATTAGGGACAGGCTAGCAAAAACGAATATATTAAATGATGATCTGGAATGTACTTTTTGTCAGAATGAGCAGGAAACTTCAGCTCACATTTTCTTTGACAGTAGATTTCCATCTAATCTATTGAGGGAAGTTGGTTACTGGTTATTTGTACAAGGCTTATCAATTGAGCAAAATCAGTGGAGGATACAAGTGATGAAAATTTAGAAGCAGCAGAAATTGAAGAAGAATACAATTTTGCTGCAATGGTTGCTATCGTCTATCACATATGGGAGGAGAGAAATAGAAGAATATTTTCTGGGGAAAGGAGAACTGTTGACGTGGTGTTCAAGCTTATTAAACAAGAACTGCAGTGAGAGATTGAACATTTTTGCAAGGGACAAAAGAATTTTGAATAGGTTTTTTCAATGGGATGATGTACAGAGTGGTAGTTAGAAAATTGTAGTTATTTAGTTGTAAGTATGAACTTTTTGTAGCATATCAATATATTTACATTGTACAAAAAATGCGGTGCTTGTTTTGTCAAATGGTAAGGGTGAATCTAATGCTCGTTTGACAGTTTGGTATGATCCTGGGGACACTCAGAGTGATTGGTGGCATTGCAAAGACATTGTTAATTATTTGCATTGATAAAAGTAGAACGGAGGTAACTTCACCACTTTGTCTAGAAAATTTTGTTGTTGAAGAGAGAATAATTACAAGGTGGAGTCCCGAACAATGCCGAGAGCATCAAACAAGTGTGAAGAAAAACCCTTGGTGCGGATAAGAAATGGCACAAGTAGTTAGAAAACGGTTGTTATTTGGTTGTAAGTATGAACTTTTTGTAGAGAAAATCTTCCATACAGTTTTTATACCACGTCAGAGACATAAAGAGGGCAAGATTATAATTTTACTGAGAAAGTTACCACAAAATTAGGGGGCTCATGATATTTTACTGTATAATGGGTGTGTTGCTGCACTAAAAAAGGGGATACACTTGTTGTATGGAATAATTTTTACTTTTTGTAGCATATCAATATATTTACATTTTACAAAAAAAAATGCGGTGCTTGTTTTATCAGATGGTAAAGATAAATCTAACGGTCGTTTGACGGATTGGTATGATCCTGGGGACACTCAGAGTGACTGGCGGCGTTGCAAAGACATGATAATTCTATGCATTGATAAAAATAGACCGGAGGCAACTTTACCATCTTGTTTTGAAAATTTTGTTGTGGAAGGAAGAATGCTTACAAGGTAGAGCCCAGAACAATGCCGAGAACATCAAACAAGTGTGAAGAAAAAGCCTTGGTGTGGATAAGAAATGACACAAGAAAGTGCCAAAAATAGCTTAAGGTTATAATTCACGGGGTTTAGTTTAATCTCTATTAGTTTCTAATGATTTTTTGTTACCACGCTTGTGCCGTGGCAAGCCATAGGCTCTATGAGTCTTCTTGACAAATGCTTTTGGCATTTGGCGATTTTTGTTGTAATTTTCAAGTTTCTGAAACAATAAGGAATTAAAGGGTCCGTTATAACTCTCTTTAATGAAGTTTAGTCCACTTTGCTTATTGGGCTGCCCTCCTATCCTATGATGCAAATTTTATTTTATTTTATTTATTTTATTGAGCTTTCAATTCACTCTTTGAATGTTTCCTATGCATGGACATTATTTGTTGGTTCATGATTCTTTCCATTCCACCCTTGTCTTTTTACTTTTTTTCTTTAACATTGATGAAGTGATTTTTTATTTGTTTTTTAAAATAATGTAATATCCTGCACTGGCCAAATTGATTCGTCAATTGATATGAGCTGGTTTATTCAATCCCTTTACACTTCATGAAAGCAATAAACACTTAGGACACGTGTCAGCTTCACATAATTTTTTTTCCTGCCTAAACCAAAAAACTCAATGTTTTGCACAAAAAAATAGGCCACGTGGCATCCCTTAAACCGGGTATAAAAAATACAGTCCTCGAAAATACAGTCCCTTAAACCGGATATATATATGTAAAACATGTAAAATAATCCGGTAAAATACAGTCCCCAAAATATTAAAAAGACCATAATCATGTTAAACCCTCCACAATCTAAGGGATATACAATCCAGGAATACAAACTGTTCCCTTTTAACACTCCTCAGTTTAAGGATTTCCCATCCTTTAAACTGTTACATTGGAGTTTAAATTTTTTTTTTAAAAAAAACTACAATTATACTGAGGAGCATCCGAATTATCTCTCCCTGATTCAAAGCCCTACAAAAGATGATAAAATTTTATAGTTACCATCACCAAGCATTAACGAATCAAGCTATGTTGGTGTCCAAATTCATTTTTCATCATAACCATCAGTAAAACTCAGAGCAGAAATCAATCAACATTTATACTCAAGATCATAAATCAAATTTCACCCAAAATTATGCATATATATCCATGTATTCTGAACGCATATCCGATCATATTATTTTGCAAAATATAATAGATTTTCTTGCCATTGATTATCAAACAACCATGCTTATCAAGGCTATGAAATACCTGTATAAATATGTTTATATGGCACGAGTTATAGCCACCAGTAAACCACCATCAAATAACGCTGAATCACCCCTTTCAGACTTTGGTACCTATCATGTTCTTCATCACCTTTCAATGGCTGCTGCTTAGAGGTATATTGTAAACATTAACGGCTTGATAAGTACCAAAAGTCCACACTTCAGAATCGTAGTTCGTGTCATGTCAATCTGGAAGAAGTACATGAAGGCAGATCAGAAAGAAATGAAGTCACTTGAACTCATATTCATTGATGCTCAGGTATTATATATTTCGATCTTTTAAGTCTTAAACTACTATGAAGTGTATAGAAACCAACTAGATCACTGTATACTAATCTCTTTTTGGAATATAGGGTGGAAAAATTCAGGCTACCATCCCTAAAAGCTTTATGGACACTTTTATCAAGTACTTCAAAGAAGGCTGTGTTCTGCAAATAGCATGTTTTGATCATGCTTTGAACATTGTTGGTGGTTACCGTTGTTCAAAACACGAATACAAAATCGTGTTTGAACCTAACACCATTGTAGATATTGTGGATGCTGTTGTTGATTTGGATATTCCTAACCATGTGTTTAAATTCACTCCTTTCGCTGAGATTTCAAATTTCATTGCGAATTTTGATTTCTGTTTTGGTATATATTTTCCATCCATATATTATTACAATTTCTGTTTTGATATAATTAAACCTGTGAATCTTCTAACACTTTTGTTTTATCTAGATGTTATTGGACATGTTATTGGTGTTAGTGAGCCGATCATTGATGGGGAGAAGAAGAGGATATTTGTGGACCTGGAGGATGAAAGGTACATTCTTAGATCTATTTTTAAAATATGATCATTATGCATATCCAAACAGTATGTCATTAAGTTTTTTTATATCATGAATTTTTACGCAAGGCTGACAGGTTGAAGATCACCCTGTGGAATGGAAATGTTGATGTCATATCAGCAATGATGGCTGATCATCCAGTAATGCCGGTAGTGCTTATTGTGCAATATGTGAAGTGCAAGAAGTGGAATTGCTCAAAAGTAAGATAATTATCATCACACAGAAATGATCATTTATGTGCCTATATATTTCAAAAATTATTTTACACTTAATTACTATCTAATATTAATTTGGTTAATCCATGGAAAAGTTCAAAATACAGGCAATTGTTGTTGATGGATCAGGCAGTGGTATAGTAACCTTTTGGGACAGACAAGTTTACAATTTAATTAACAAGACTGCATCTGAACTCCTTGAAGAGGTATCAGTCTTCATTTTTACTTACAGGGTTAATAATCATTATGAATAGGTTCAGATTGAAAATACCAAAACTACAGGAACCAGGAGTCTATTACCCAAATAAGTTAGATGAGCTTAAAGGAAAAAAGTGTTTGTTCAAGCTTGATGTTTCACATTTTAATATAAGGAACAGGGACAGTGAAATGTCAATTACTAGGGTTACTACTGATGCTGCGATTATAAAGCAGTACCTACATGTATCTGAAGATCTGGTAATTATCATTAAATATTCACTTTTGTTGACATTAATTTTATTTACCAGCAAAATAAAAAATAAGCAAATTGTAGAATGTCTCACATATCACATGTACTCTTTTTCTGTTGTAATAATGCAGGAAACAGATGCAGAAACCAGTATTGAATTTGGGCTCAATATGACCCAAACAGATGACAGTACTGCAAAGGAGATCCGTCAAAATGAAACATATGTTATGGACTACATATTACAAAATATATTCCAGATAACTGAAACATACATTTACTTACATGTCTTTTTTTGCAGACTGCTGTATCATGTACTGGGGATGTTAATATCCAGAATGCTGATGATGGAACTCCTCTGGAAGATACTGATGATAGCCCCCCACCAAAGAAGACTAAATCTACTCAGGACCCTGAGAGTGTCAAATCCCACCAGAACAAGTGTGTCAGGAAAATCTGAAGAAAATTCCATCGTAATGATCTTATTTGCGTTTGAATTTAAATTTCCAAATAAAAACTGCACTTCATCAGATGTATGAAGTTGTTATCCCTAGACAGAACTTTCTTTTAATGGATTTTAACATTTTTTGTTTATAAGCACTTCAGTTTTGGTGCTTTTTTATCTCAATCAATTTCTGCCTTATGCAATACAAGGATTGGTCTTGATTGTTAAGCACTTCAGATTCTTAGATAGTTACAGTGTGTTTTTAAATTTTATTTTAGAGAATGTTGAATGTTAAGTTCATTCTCTAAGTCTTAAAATTTGAAAACAAAGAGTATTTGGTAAATTTCATGAGACAGCTTTATCCGCAATTTAAAATTTAAATAATCCGTATTTTAAAATTTTGAAAACTCAATCAAATATATGGACTGTGAGGCAAAAATAATTAAACCTGAAAATATGTAATCACTGATAAGGTTTAACTTAATATAAGTCACCATCAGAGTTTGAAATTGTATAAATTCCATGCAAACACTTTTAAATGAAAAAAAAAAGTTGTGTTAATCTTTACAGTGTGAATACAAAAGATAATTTTATCAATGGAATAAGCACAAAATACGTTATTATTTATTGTTATCCCTGTAAATCAGGGTTAACCAAATTTATATTCCCAAGTACATATATTACTGGCTTTAAATTCATTGTTCAAAATACCATAAGCCACCCTTTACAAATTCTTTCAGCAACTTAAATTATGTTTCTGAAGAAAAATTGATAGACAAGAAGGAACAATGTCAAACAATTGTTTTGCGAGGGTGGAACTAGGGTTTGCCTACTTCCAGGTAATTTATAAGTCCTGATAATAGTTTTTTTTTTTTTTTTGCATCAGTTTGTATTCCTTATACTATAGATGTAATAAACTATTGTGGTGGTTATCATCAATGAACAAATGATGTAGGAAATTCCTTTGCCTTCAACTTTGCTTATTCAAGATGACGATAGATCAAAAGAGATTTTATTGATCAGTAACAATAACGAGTACAAAGTCAGTGGATTGGTCAATAAAGATTGGACACACATGAGGATTGGTGGAAACAATTAGTATGAATTTGTGAAGGCTCACCATTTAGTTCTCAATAAGGGACTCTACTTTATTGTGAGGGAATTAGGGATTATGAATGTTTTTGTGTTTGATAAAAATAATGTTCTCAGCAACAGTCCAACACCAAATATGTCATGGGATCACATCAACAATATCAAGGTTCAAATGGTATGTTGTTTATAATTTTTTTTGAAATTTGACTGTTATGGAAAGGTAAAAATATTGTTTATGTCTTGTTCAATTTGGTCATACAGGTTATACCAGTTGGATTAAGTAGTTGTATCATAGAAGACCATGCAGACAACTTTGGTTATTTTTCAAACTGGTCGGTTGTCTGTGGGGAGCGTACATATATCATTCAAATAGCATATTCTCCTGATGAGAATGCAGCCAGATTGGTTGTAAGTGGGTATCAATGGGATAAGCTTTTAAAAGACCATGCCGACATGGTACAACATTCTGAATTTGTTGTTTTCACATATACTGGAAAAATACGATTAACTATGTATTTTTTCCAGTAAAGAAGGATTTGAACAAAAGCCTACTGTCACTGATACAAAAGATGACTGCTTCGAGATTCCCAAAGGAGATAACCACTGCCAGCATAAAGCCATTGTAATATATAATATCTTTTACTTTCTGTCACCTTAATCATATTTACTTTACTTATTTTTTTTCCATTTCTTTTTACAGATTGTTCCCTGCGAATTCTGGAGACGACATAGAAGTATCCTAACCAAAAATTTGGCTGTCATATACACTAATGCAATGATGTATAATATGGAGTTCCATAAATCATACAATCCACTGCATTATGGTAAAAAGGTGTCCCAGTTGAAGCTTATCGGGAATTAGAACGCACTGATGCTTGATAATCAGTTCCCAAAAGGAAGTCATCTTAAATTTATGCTGGATGTCGAAAGTGTACATCCCAGGAAGAATGATGTAACTTTTTCTATTTCAGCAATTCCCTAGATCTAGCTTGATCATGATTTTTTGAATTGTTTCAAAATATTTAAAGTTGTTTTAAATGCCTGGTGCGAACTAAATAACTTTTTCTCATCATATATATGATTGCTTTATGAAATTATTTTATTCTCTTGGCCAATAACGATATTTTGTACCAACATGTTTTACTATGACTTAAACTGATTTGTAAGTATATATGTTAATAAAGATAAGACTCTATGTAAGTTAAATACTTTTACTTATAAATATTTAATAGAAATCGTTTCCTTAAAATTAAGATTACGATAAAAATCAGATCACAAATACAATATCACAATCAAATTTATCTAATCAATGATAAAGATGCATAATCATTTAAATGAGATTCCTTGAAGATGTAAAAGTTGAAACAGGATCAATACTTAAAAACATCCATATGATACAAGTTCAAGAACGTCTAAATGTACATTGACATATTCACAGAAGTTTAACAATTCAACAATGGTCAACATGTCAGCAAAGGCTTCCAGAAAAAATCGATCACAAATTTTACAGGCGAAAAGAAAGAAGATTCAAGCAAAAGCAGCTAGCAAGAAGCGAACACAAATAATAAACGATCAAAGGAGAAAGGTGATTTACAAATTTATTATAGATGGTTGCTTCAAACAGATTTTACGCAATAATAGGCAAAATTTTACTCCAAAGGAGTGTAGGTGGTTCAGACTCAACTTTTAAACAATAAAAAAGGCAAAAGTTGTTAAAGGTGGACATTCCGGCATCCCTACACACCACAATCATTATCCGTTTTTCATAGCAGATGTGAACCAACAATCAGTTTCAAATGATTGTGTAATTTCAAGAGGTACGTAATTTGGGTTTAGTGTTAATAAGTTTTAGTGGCATTTTAATCGCATATGTATATATTTCATTTATTTGTACAGATTCAACCTCATTTTGGAGATCTATTTCTGAGAATCCCAGAATGAAAAGGAAGGAATTGTTGGATAAAAAAAGAGGGAAGATTGTTCAAACAAAGCCTACCATTCGAATGGGTGGTTTCAACATATCCAATACAGATAATTCAATTTCAAAAGCTCATACTAATTCAAAACTGCAAAGAAACAGTTCTAACGGTACATGCTTTATTCTGATCAGTCATTATCCATTTCATATCGGTTATTATTAGTGTTGTGTTGAAAATATATAAACATCAGTATCAGCAACAATTAAAAGTTGTCCACAGATTAAAAACTGAAAATAATAATTCAACTTTAAAATATGAAAAGATAATCAAAAAATGACACGTAGGACATACCTCTGAATTTGTAACATTCATATACTGTTGTCTCCTTACACAACAACATCAGAGACCAATCTTACAGGTTTGAAACGCAAGCGCCAACAATCTGGAATGAATTTGAAGAAAAATGTGTTGCATCCTGGCAAGTACAAAGTCAAACAAAACGAGGTTAATATAATCAACGCAGGTATTTTATACTTACATAAGAGTTTGTGTATATTTCTAAACGCAATAAAAGAGTTTTTTAAACAAATAATGTTCATGCAGCTTATGATGATCTGGGTGATCCAGATTATGTATGTAAATTCTGTGGGTCAAACATGTGGTATGCTGAGAGGACTGAAAAAAGAAGGAGAACAGCATTCCCCACATTTTCAATATGTTGCATAAAAGGCACAATCCATCTACCCTTACTCAAAGAAGCACCTTCAAAGTTAAAGGAGTTGTTTATGTCTAATGACAGCAAAAGCAGACACTTTTTAGAGAACATACGAGCCTACAATAATATGTTTGCATTCACCTCCATGGGTGGTAAAATAGTCAGTACCATAAAAAATGGCCGTGCTCCATATGTATTCAAAATGCAGGGACACAACAGTCATTTAATGGGTAGTCTTCTCCCAGAAGGTGATTCAATTCCTAAGTTCTCTCAGTTGTATATTTATGACACTCAGAATGAAGTCAATAACAGAATAGGTGCTCTAAGGTACAACTCTTACTATATTTGAAAAAATGCTGTTCCATTTAAATATAATTCCAAATGTTCCTTATATATATAGTTGTTATGATCGTTTTATTTTTATTTATTTTATGAACTGCAGTTCTGGTCAGAGTGGAGATAGTTTGAGGACACTTGATGCTCAAATTGTTAGTGACATAAAGGAAACATTAGATGAACACAATGTCCTACCACAAACTTACAGAAAGGTACGTGACACAGTTCAGGTAGACTCTTCAACAGAGAGTGAAACTTACGCTTATTAGTGCTAGAAAAACGGATGCAAGAAGATACAACATTCCAATAGTTGATGAGGTAGCAGCTATAATTCCAGGAGATGAGGATAATGAATTTGAGACAAGAGACATTATTGTTCAATATAGGTATGGAGAATTGCTGAGAATAAACGAGCTGCACCCTTCATACCTTGCACTTCAGTACTCGATCATTTTTCCGTATGGTGAAGACGAATTCAGAATCAATATAAAACTTGGAGATCCAGACATTGATTCTGATGATGATCATCATCAAAGTGATGATGATGAGGAGGAGGAAAATGAAAATGAAGAAGAAGAGTACAAGGGTCCCCGTAATTAGATGAGTATGAGAGAGTGGTCTGCCTTCCGTATTATGGAAAGGAATGATGATGGTAGCATGCTATTGTTTGCATGGCGGTGTTTCCAACAGTTTTTAGTTGATGGTTACAATGCAGTTGAAGCTGGTCGTATCTTTTTTGTGAAGAAATCAGAAAAAACTACGTTGTGAAACATATGAAAACATCAGAAGATCTCTCGAATCAGGCAAAAATGATGCATCAGACATTGGTCAGAGGATTTTATTGCCATCCTCTTTCACTGGACGCGACAGATGGAAACGGGAGAACTATATTGATGCAATGACAATAGTGAAGGTGTTCGGCTACCCAGACGTGTTCCTAACATTTATATGCA